GTAGTGGAGAGAACTGTAATGTAATAACTTTAAATAAATTGGTTTTTGGTATTTATGGGATACAATTCATGGTATTCGATTGATTATCGTAATGTACTTTCGATGAATATATTAACAAATTATTGTAAAAGAACCTCTTTCTTCATATATTTTCTCATTTTATTTCTACATTAATAAAGTCCACAATGCCTTTTGAGAATAATATGAGCAGATATAACAGAACCAATCAATTATTAATATTGTCTCTGAATGTTTTTAGGCTTATAGGTACAGAATTTCGGCTATGGCTGAATTATTCCTTCTTCTTCGTGTAAGTTAAGAATTTTCTCCCAGTTATTTAATCGATTGAAATTTTCCTTGGGAATTGGAAAATAAAAATTTGTAAATAATTGTGTAACACCAAATTTTAACTTTGTTTTTGCGGATATGCAAAATCAGACCATCTTACCTTGATTTTAACAAGTTGTGACTATTAAAGCAACGACTAAAAATACGAAATTCAAAGATGCGGATTATTATTTTTAACTAATTTTCTATAAACTGGCATAACTTTGAAATTAGTGATCCGAAATAAATTATTATGTGTCAAAATAAAACCATAAATAAAAATATTTCTTCCAAATATTGATAAAAAGAAAAACCGTTATTATTTTTAAATTTAAGTGTATGTCGTAATTAAAAAAAGTTTATTTACATCTTCTAGTATGTAATATAATCTATATAGTAGTGCATTTAATGGAATTAGTGTGAGGATAATAATAAAGGACACCGAGAAGGGATTTTTATAGTCAAAACAATAGATTCTTTATTATAAAATTGTTTCCTATATATAGTCTTTTATAATTATGTCATTTAACTTCTACTAATATGCAATTACATTGACCTCCATAAGATCATATTAAATGTAAGATAGTTATAATAATATATAATTCAAATAGCGTAACCTTTTAAAATATATATAAACATTCAAATATAACAGGGATCAAAATAAAACATCAAACTCAAATCTTATATTTGCTATTTTTGATATAATTTTTTACATCTCGGGATATGATATTATAAACTTATTAGTTTATACTTATAGATTTCCAAAATATTAATATACTGTTCGTGTGTTTTTTTCTTCCGTTATTATATTGACAAATATAGGACCAGAAAGCTAATTTTGCTTGAATATTTCAATAAAAAAAACGAAAAAAACCAAAGCAAAACAAAAAACTTGCAAAAAAACTCAAATCTATCATATTTTTTTTTAAAAAAGAAGACTTTCTCAACCTACTGGGTCTAACCAAAATGGGTTTTTGGGAAAATAGCAAAACTACTAAAAAAAAATTATATTTTATTTTTATTATATTATAATATTAATTATAATCATACAAAATTTGAATGTAAAAATTTTTTCTTCATCTCCATCACATGCTAAAACAATTGTATTTTCTTTAATTAGTAGATGACTCTCACAAGTAGTGAAAATAACATAATCGAAATATATTCAGCTATAAAAATTCAAAGTGTGATTCTGTACTCATAAATATATACTCCCAACATAAACTGAATTTATTAATTTTTGTTTTCAAATTATATTTTTGTATAAACATTTGTTTTCAAAAAAGAAAAAATATTAAGAATTCGCAAGTTTGGGAAAAGAAAATTCCACAAAATTTTTTTTTCAGGGAAATTTCTACTAATTAGTCTCAAATTTTTGTTTCCAGATATACCACAATTAGCTGCAATTTATATTTTAAATTTCTTAGTAAATTTAGTATTTCAAAAATTATATTTAAATTATTAAATATGATCAATTATAATTTTTAAAATTAATTATGGGAATTTTAAATATAGCAAAATAGCGCGCTACTTAGTAATTCTCTAACAAGGAGCGCGTTACCTATCTCTTTTTTTTAAAGAAATTAGAACTGTTTATCTACCGCTAAGGAAAAAAGTAGTACCCTACTTTCAACTCCTACCAATGAATAAAGTAATTATCGCTAGCAGATAAGAAGAATCTTAACATCCTTTTGGTAATAAAGTAAAAATATGTATGATGGCTATAATGTGTTTAAGTAATTCTTATAAAACCTTAGATCTCGGTAATTTAAATTTTTGAAAAAAACTCCTGTCAACATGATATAATATATTAAAATTTTAAGTTTATTTATCGCAAAAATTGTTAAATATTTTATATTTCAAGCTTTTACCAGTCATCGGCATTTCTTGAACTTTGCTATCTTGAACTTGTCTTATATTCTTAGGAAAATAATTATATTAAGTTAAAAAAAATAATGCGATATAAATATTGGTTATATTATGACTTTAGCTACTATATTAAAATACATTATTTTCATTGATTAAATAATCTATAGTAGTATAAACTTATAATGCATTATATATAAGTGTTGCTAAATGACTCGTTTTACCCCATTTTAAATTAAGATCTCAGCCAAAATAGTCTGCCAAATCAGCAATCAACCTGCCCCGGCCCGGTTTGTCTTTTTAAAAAAAAATAGTTTTGAGTCCGGGTATAATTAAGATAACTAGAGTACGGCTCGGTTTCTGTAACCGCCCTTGGCTTAGGGCCGGGCCTGCAGGTCTCTGTTATATTTTTGGTTAAAATATTGGTTTGACCGTTTTTATATCATCGGCTCAAATAGAGATATTTAACAAATAATCAAATAAACTAGCGAATAGCAAGATTATTTAACATACATACCTGGTGGTGGTATTCTGCATTGAATAATTGATTAGCAAATGATGGCTAAAATGATGAATATCTGGTTCGATATTCAATTATAATAATAGAGAATAATTAATTCGTAACATTTTTATAAGTTTTTTTATCATAGTAATTTTAATAATTTTTTTTAGTGTTGTAAGTATTATGGTGTTTTAACTATTATGATAAAATGTTTTAAATAAACTTACATTGAATCATAAAAAAGAGAATAAATTATTAGCATGTGTATATTATAGAACATAATATAACGAAATAAGTTTTATATAAAAATTTTTTGTTTTTTTAAGTTGTGTCAAAAATTTTATTTTCATGTTTTTATTTTTTGTACAGTGTCTAGTTCCAGTTTTATTTGAAAATTTATAAGTTCTTAACCACAAAAAAATAAAAAAAAATTTTTTGATGTTAAATTTTTCGATATTTATTAAATTTACATTTGTAAAATATCTTAAAATTATTATATTGTGATTTTTTTTTTTGAATAAAATCATTAAATTTATACAATTTGGTGTGTTCTTATTACACTATCCTTGATTTTAAGAGAAAAGTGGAAAATAAAAGTTGGGATAAATAAAGCTTGGATTAAGATCGACTATGCATTTCGCCAAATGATAGGAAAAAAGAGTAATAATCTTTTGGCAAAAATCACGATTGGTTAGAAAAAAATATGTGATTGGGCTGAAATATCTATTTTAGAAAAGAATATATACTTTTTCAGAAACATTATTGTCCTAACTCAATACTAATCAGATGACGAGTATACTATTTCTTTGTAAAAAAAGGCATTACGCGATAGAGGTCACTATAAGACTTTTTTTAAAAAATATGTATACTGTGTAAACTTATATATTTTTTATCGTTAATCTTATACAAATAATAACAATGAATTTATTAAGCTTATATTTAGCGTATTTAATTTTATGTTAACCTTTTATTTGTGTTTGTATAATCGCGAACTAGAATGAAACATTAAACTGTGAGATTCAACATAAAATAAAAAGGGTTAAATTATAGCTTAAGGGGAATTTTATAATATAAGAAAATGTACCTGATACTAAAAGGAATTTCGTAAAGATTACATACTCTAAAATAACAATGATTCTGCAACTTCAAGCTAGCCCAAGAGTTTTTGTATTTCTTATCGTGACCCTGATTTCAGGTTAACGGGAATTCATGGCAAAGTTATACTAAATGTGTTGAGGAGGAAACCTGCTAAAGCGATTGACGCTTTCGAAAAACTTTTTGGTTTGACATTATTTTTGCCTAAAACTTGTTTTTTTTAAATCCTAAAATCATAAAAACTATTCTCTAGTTCATTTTGCTTTTGACAAAATATATTATAAGGCTGAAAATTAAAAAAAAATTTGTATACATGTTCCTTAAAGCCATAACCATATAAAGCATATCTAAAAGTCACGCAATAACAATTATATATACAATGTACATAACCTTGGGGTAAAGTTGTTATGGGTAAAACGGTTTGGTCCATCTGATTTAAGTTGTAGAAAGTTAATTGTTTAAATATTAACTTCTACACCATGTAGATAGAATATTTTTTAGCAAAGGTGAATTTTTAATAAATAGTGTCTGTGTTTGGAATAAAATTTTATGAACGCAAAGAGGAAGAATAATTGAATGTATGATATGCCTAAAATGGGTACATGCAAAATATGTTTATTTCTGATACTTATTTTTGATATAATCCGATATTGTTACTGATTAGTTTATACTTATAGATGTCAAAATTAAAGTATTTTATTCAATTAAACAATAAATAGTTATGTTCTGTTTTAACCACCTTACCCTAATGTCTAGCCACTTTACCCCTGGGAGTGAGGTAAATTGGAGAAAATGACATGCTTCACATAATTAATGACAGCTATTAAAATATTAGGGGGTAAAGAGCTACACCTTTTTAAAATTATTTTGTAGATAAAAGTTTTAATTGAATATTAATATATGATTTGTTCTGTTTAATTAGTGGTATTAAATTGCAAAATGCCAATCGTTCTACCCCGCTCTCTCCTATTTTTGTATTCTTCGCCCTATGAATTCTGGCTAAATGCATATTCATATGGCTGGAAAAACTGGCTGAGGCATTAATAAGCACCAATTTATGCAATAAATATATTACCACATTTATCCTTTTGTTGTTTTATCTTCCTCTTTTATTAATTGGCTTTAGACCAAAAACAATTTTTGCTTTGAATATTCAGAAAAAAACGAAAACCTTTACATAAAACTAAAACAAATTGGAAACCAATAAATATAAATACAAATAAAATTTATCTTATAACAAAAAATGATACAAAAAAAAACTGATATCTATCATTTTTTTAATGAGATTTTCTGAGCCTAATGATTACCCAAAATGGGTTTTCGGACAACAGCAAAATTTAGATTAAAATTTTACAATTTATTAATTCCAATAATTATAATCATATATAAATTTTAAATGTAAAAATTTTTTTCCCCATCACATCACATCCTAAATAAACAATTGTGCCAAAGCATTTTATCTTGTTGAATCAACCTCCTATAATACGTTGGTAAAGAGGAATCTCTGTAGTCAGTAAATATGTACTTCTAACATGGTCTGAATTTTTTGTTTATTTAATATTTCAAATTATATTTTTCTAAAACAATTGTTTTGAAATAAAATATTAAGAATATTGATAAAATAATGAGCCCTTGTTGATTTATTTTTTTGCAACTTTATTACGTTTATCAAAACCGTTAAAAATATTTTAAGGAGCATTAAAAGCAGCACAGTGTCTTAAATACTTTATTGCAAAATTATTAGATTTTTAAATAATTAAATCAAAGCTTATTTTAAATAAGTATTTGAAATATATATCATAATTTATATATAAAAATTTGAAATCTGTTGGAATGAACTTCAAAAAAATTTTACATTTTTAAATATCCTTGATTTATTTTTGTTCGTGTTGTAATTGTGTTAGTTCCACGTTTTATCATAGATAATTATTTCACATTTTTCATTAATTATCATTTTATTTTTAATCATAATTTTAATTTTGTTATATGATATATTACATTTTTATTTTCAAAGGTAAATTACTTTTTATTTATTTTAAAGGGTCTCCGATAATTTCGGGAAACTTCAACAAAAACAATTTCTCCTTATATATCCTTTTTTTTTTTAAATAACTAATACAAATTGATATATAAAAAAATAAATCAATTGCCAAAATAAATAATAAAATAACATCGATCAACATATTCAACATCCCACCCTCCAAAGAAATTCGGCTTATGATTTCCTTGGATAAGTTGAGTGGTAACGTCATTAACATTCATGATCACCACGCAATACGCCACCCATGTTTCATGGTGCAGCCTTCTTTTCAAAACCAATGATGGCTTCGTAAAGTAAAGACAACCCCTAGCTAATTTCCAAACCGGGTCGCTTGTGCATGGCATTGGACATCTACATTCCTTTCGAGCAAAGTTTGTTTTGTCGTGCTTCAGCCAGCAACCCAATTTCTGAGTCGATATTCATCGTTCTTGGCGCACGGAATTCTCCTTGAAGGTAAGATCTTAGGCACAGCATCGGGCTTCAAGTGAACTTTGGGTTTGTAGGAGTAAGTTGATTCGAGGTCTTTTTTTGTTGTCGATCTTCTCGAGATCATTTTCTACATTACCCACTAAGAACGTTTTTTAAATGTTGTTAAAGGCGTGGAGCCACATACGTCATAGCAGGGGGATTTTATCACAATCCACTACAATGGCCTCCAGTGTATGTGAGTTTCCTTCATACTTAACGTTCACATTGGCAAGACCTAATATCATGATAACGCTGCCGTCATAACCGGTGAGTCTCATGTCCGTCTTACGTATCGCGGTTATGCGTACAGTCTCAGTTGTCAGCTTTGGAAGTATACTGTACCTGGTACCGGTGTCAACTTGCATCAACGTTGGTATGTTATTGATGCTCACTGTCACGTTGTACGCGTCATATATGGTATCCTTGACCCCCAGATTGTACACTTCAAAATTCTGCCTATTATATTCTTTAATTCTGTGTTTGAGTCGTCGTCATTATTAATAGCATGGTTCGTATTCAATTGACAATCACGATCTTTGTAATCAGAAGATCTATTGTAAGTATTATTGTCATTTTTGTACTGGTTGGGGCCTCGACGAATATTTGGGAAAACACTTGATATTTTGAGGGTTGTGTCAGTGCTGACCACGACGGGGATAGTTGGTTCGGTTATCACCTCTATAGCAGTATCCCGTTGATCAGGGCTTTGATGATGGTCACAATTCTAGTCGTAGCGATTGCCATGGACTTTGTACCCGCTATTGTTGTATCGATCGTCCTAGTCGGTTATAGTGACAATTATCATAGCTTTGATCAAAACGATTCGTGGTTGCTGTGCCTTCCATCGAATCGTTTGTCGCGGCCGTTATCGTTGCGTATCTTGTAACGTTCATCAAATCGTTTGTCACGGCAATAGTCGCAGCGTAAATCGTAGCGTTCATCGAAATGCTGTGCGGGGCGATTGGCATTGATGAACTGGGGTTGCTTGATAGGAGATTTACCATGTGCGTGAGAGTCTTGAATGGGTTTTGTTGTTACGTAACTATTTTTGACTTTGCCCATGTGATTAACCTCTTGTACACGCGGTGATTCATTCAAATGAAACAATTTCATCTCGCCCTTGATGCCACTTGGCTCCGCGGTGTCTTCCTCTAGACCAAGATTGTAAATGTCTTCTATAGTCAAAGAGCTCTTGACCGCTTTCCTGACATCTTTGGAATTCGAACATAGTCTCACTTTCTCAATAATTCTCTTAATACCATTGAATTTACATTCTTTATTGAGTCGTGCTACGCGCGTGACCCAAGCCGAGAACGTCTCATCCTTATCTTGAGTTGCAGCATAAAATAATGATAGTTTAGCGTTCTCAGTCTTCGATGGGTGTTGTAACTTAATTTTCCAAGCAGGGCGATTGGGTGCTGGAAGTCTGCCTCAGTGCAAATTGCCCCAATATTTTTGAATTCGTCATAAGGAAGACTTCGGAGAAATAAAGCGGTCTTTTCTCCGTTGGAGATCTTGCTGGTGTTGAAGAAATTCTGCAACTTCCCTATGTAGGCGCTGTCTTGGTTACTAAATTTGGGGAAATCCAGCTTGACAAATTCAGTTATATATGTGGAATTGTTCAAAGCATCCATCGTAAGAGAATTATATTCAATAAAGGCGTGAAATAGAATAAATGTACATTGTAAAATCAAGATCAAATTTTGAGATAAAACTTACGCAGAGTTCAGACGTAGATTGGCCTCCATGATGTAATTGAATTAGTTATCATAGATAATTATTTCACATTTTTCATTGATTATCATTTTATTTTTAATCATAATTTAAATTTTATTATATGATATATTACATTATTATTTTCAAAGATTATCTCTCTTCAACAAAAACAATTTCTCCTTATATATCTTTTTTTTAAACAATAATAAAAATAACTAATACAAATTGATGTATAAAAAAATGTTAATATAAAATTTTCACCGATTAAATTTAAATACAAATTGATATATAAAAAAATAAATCAATTGCCAAAATAAATAATAAAATAACATCGATCAACATATTCAACAGTTCGTATCTTGTGATGCATCATAGACTTCACTATAAATCATGAGAAGCTATTTCGCAAATTGTATCGTATATCATTACCCTATCTTGAAACATCTTGGTTCGATGAAATTTTTTATATAAGTTTAAAAATTATTATAATTTTATATTTTAATGGTATTTAAAAATATAATTTTTAATTAAAAGTATCTATATCTTCTTGAATGGAAAATTGATTAAGATTTTTTTAAAATGATTTCTATCTTGGAATACAAGATCTTTAATAATAGTTGACTATCTTAAATCAGATTTTCTATTTACCTCACTAGGAAGGTAAATATTTTTTATTTTGCATACAGATATAACAAATTGAAAGGTCTTATCCTAAATCCCTGGATGAAATCTTTGAATTTTAATCATTTCCTCGAGATGGAATGGGAAGACCTGAAATGAATAAGTTCTTTATAACAAACATCTATAATATAAAATTAAATTAATTCAAGAGTATCCATGAAAATATCCTGAATAAACTGAATTTTATAAAATCTTTGGATACAAAATAAATATTTGTATAAACATTATAAGTCTGGCAGTCAATTAAGTTTTAGGATCTAGCCAATAAGCAGTTACCTACTCCTAAATAAGCTCTACTAAATATTTTATCAAATTATGAATCAGAAAATACTTTATTTTTCCTTCTATTAATGAGTGCAACAATCTTCTATTGTTCAGATGTAAGAAACATCGGTAAATTTAATATTGATGACTTTTAATTCTTAAAATTTAGGCAAAATTCTTACCACCAATGCTTGCCTGTAAAATATTTTGAGATCAGGAGATTATGCCATTAACAGAATGGCAAATTAGATCGACCAAGTCAATTAGTTGAAGGTCTAAAACACCTAGTAATGATGTTGTAGAGTTGATTAATTTAGTTTGAAATAAATTTGATTTTGTTTATATTCCTATTAATAACCAAAATTATTAAAATATTTTTTATTCTCTCTGCAATTTGAGATATGGATATTTTAAATAAGCATCAATTATTTTAAACACTTCTTGATTCATTGATTGATTTTATTTTCCTACAAAACATATAAACTTTAATATAAGCTAATATCTTCCTTATTTTTTATTAAGCTAAAAATATTTCGCAAGTTTGAGAAAAGGAAATTCCACAATATAATTTTTTATCAGGGAAATTTCTGCATGTGTCTCAAATCTCATTTCTAGATCTACCACTATTAGCTGCAATATATATTTCAAATTACTTAGTAAATTTAGTATTTCAAAATTATATTTAAATTAAATTAATAAATATGAAGATTATAATTTTGAAATTAATTATGAAATTATAAATAGATTTTAGTAATTTTATTATGTAATATTATATGAAATTGAAAGGAGTGAAATAGCGCGCTACTTATCTATTCTCTGAAAAGGATGGCGTTACCTCTATCGCTATTTTTTTAAAAAATTAGAGCTCTATATTTACCGCTACTGAAATAAGTAGCACAATACTTTTAATTCGACCAATGAATAGAACATTTATAAAAAATTGTATAAAGTAATTATTGCTAGCTGAGAAGAAGATCTTTCGTAACAGAGTAAAAATATGTAAGATATCTATAATGTCTTTAAGTAATTCTTATAATGTTATTACGAGCTCTTCCTTATATATAGTTTTTAAAATTATTGAAAAAAACCCTTGTCAACTCATGATATCATGTATAAAAGTTCATAATTGTTTTTTTTAAAGTTTATTCATAGTTTTTTTTACCAGTCATCTTCATTTCTTGATCTTTATTAGATTGAACTTGTGTGCGTTCTTCTAAGAAAATAATTATATTAATTAATAAATAATAGGATATAAATCTTGGTTATGTTGTGACTTAAGTTGCTATCAAAATATTTTTTTTTTCATTGATTAAATAATATTTAGTAGCATAAATTATTATTGCATTGTATATAGTGTTGCTTCGACTCAATATAGCCAACTTTAAATTAAAATCTCAACCAAAAATAGTATACTGCGCATGACTCAAGATTTTGTTGAAAGATTTTCGATTCCTTCTGTCATCTCTCAGCAATTTACATGCTTGTGTTATAAATTTCAGGGATCTGCAGAGGTTCCATTTGCAGGTCTTTAAATTTTTTTTAGGTTTATCCCGGGCATTATTAAAATGGCCCGACTTCTGTACCCGGGCTTGGCTTAGGGCGGGCCTGCAGGTCTCTCATATATTTTCGGCTAAAATATCGGTTTGACCATTTTTAAAAATCGAGCAGTCTTGAACCGACCTCTTAAACTAACTCCTTAAAAATATAAGCCTGAATAATTTAACAATAGTTGACCCAAAGGTCTGGACATCTATTAACGAAATTACAAGGCTCAGACAATGTGTTTATGGCTAAAATAGGTTGGCAGTTTTTGAAAATCGTTTCAGATCGAGATATTAAACCAACACCGAAATCAGCTATAGCATATTATTAACATATAATAAATTAATGTGATTTATATAGACATACCTTCAAGTAATCCACATTGAATTGTTGCTAAACAAATGAAGGCTAGTATGGTGAATATCTGGTTTGATATTAAATTAGTGTTAAGTAATTGTACGTAATTATCTATTAAAATATACTTACCCTTATTAATAAAGAATTAATGTGTAACATTTAAAAAGTTTTTTTTTATGTAGATTTTTGAAATATTAAGGTTTAAATATTATGATAAATTTTTAATAAATATAACATTGAAATATTAAAAAAAATTTTTATATATATTATATAAAATTATAAATCGAAAAAAAATTGATTATTTTTTATTTGTGTCCTTTCTTGTCATTAAATCAAAAAAATAATATTTTCATTTTTTAAAATGAACATTGGCTAGTCGATAGAGAAATATTAACTAGACCAAATTACAATATCTAACACACTACTTTAAAAAAAATTAATAATATAATAATACCACAATAGTCGAAACGAAATTCCTCTATTACATACTAGTGCACATAGGCTTAGTTATTTATCTACAGATTGTATTACAAAATTATGACCTATGCTTTGATTCATTAATCGGCAAAAACATTAAACGATTTCCTTGTTCCCAGAAGTTTCGCCACCGGCCGGGACTGGGGCTCTGCCGTTCTCCCTATACGTTGCACCGGCTCGTCCGCACGTTATTCACTCTCCTTTCCAATGAGACCACCCTTCTTTATTATCGCATTCATCAAATAATGTAAATATAAACCTCCCAGTTGTACTAACTTCTAAAATTTTAACTACACAGGATAAATAGAAAAATATTTCCCTATACGCAGAATTTTGAGAATTCTTAGAACCCTTTGAGCTGATATGCAAGAACAAGTGTTAATTTCGGAAAGAAGCAAAATATAATGACTGAATTATTAATAGTGAATATATACATTTCCTCATTGATTATCTATTGTTATACAATTCATTTGCAGAAAATAAAGGAAGTAGCCTAGAATGTGATAATGTTATGATAAGATAATTCAGGAGATTCCCAAACAATAAGGAATGGTCAAAACTTCTATTATGAAGTGTTGTAAATAAATGACCATCATTAAAACCAGCTCTTGTAAGATATATTATGACTCTATTGTTAGATAAATTCATAGAAAATATGATGATAATGATAAAATTGCATCATTTCAAAATGAAACTAATAAATTCATTAAAACGATAGTTTAGTAAAAAAAAAAATTGCTGATTTTCAAAGAATAAATGCAGAAATTTACAGGGACGCTGTTTATTAATAAATTCGAATTTGAGGAAGTTGAATAAATGATGATATAAAAGACATCGAATTAGATCAATTATTTTTGTAATGATGTATTATCTACTTTGTATGTGTATTATTAAAGCTTAGCAATTATATTCCATGCAAAATAATTTGTTGCTTATGGGTGGTGCCTGTGGAAATAATAAGTAGATTCTTATTGCTTTTTTACAAATTTTGGTATTTGTTTTAACAAAAAAAGTGGACTAACATCATATAAATCAATACCAGAAAAATTTCGGGAATTAAATGCTTTTATATATATAATACTAGAAAATATTTTTGGTTATATAACAACAGATAATTTTTATCCACTTCTTACTCAAAAATTTTGAAAATGTCGAGTGGAGTATCCATCTTTAGACCGACTCATTATTGTCTCTCATATTTGGTTCGCACGAATTATATCTAGAAGGAATTATTCATTATTCGATATTCAATTCGAACAATTATTCGATTCGAATATTTGAATCGAATTCAAATAAGAAAAATATATTATTCGTTGAAAAGTTTGGAATGAAATTTAAAAATTATTAATTTAACTTCCGAAAATTGTTTTATGAGTGAACACAGTATAAAATTTTTATATGCGATTTATATTAAATGATGTAAGATTTATTATCAGTTTTAACTTATACAAATTAACTTTACCCCCGATTGTAGTCGTTTATAATTATATATCGCAAAATATTATATAATACAAGTAAATATATATTATAAAAGACATTGCTAGTAAAAAAAATAAATAATAACATGCTTTAAAATGCTATTTTTGAAACATTTTAAGATCATTTTCTAAAATAAACACAAATATTTAACGCCATCTATATTCAGATAATGTATACAAATAAATATAACAATTATGAAATATTATTTTAATAAAATAATAGCTGTTTCTAAAATGGCACCTAGATGAATATCGCTCCTTGCTATTTTCCACCCTATTGAAAATTTTTGTACTATTTGTCAAGAACCAAAAATCACAAGCGGAGAGTATTAAATTGTTTTATATTTATAATAGCCTAAAAATGGCTGAGAAATTTAATAAGTTACTTAATATCTTTATTTTATATATTTTTTTTCTTTACAATTTCTATTATACCTTAAGTATATTAAAATAATTTTATTATATTAAATATTATAAGCTTAAAACCCCAGTCATGGTTTTGATTATTGAATGACATTATTTAGCAGTTACTCTCTCATATTTATAATCAAATGATTTTTAAGGTTATATAACGTTGATTCAAGTAGGAGTTAATTTTAAATATTTTTTATAAGTCGAATAAAAGGAACAAATAACGTTCAATTGTAATCTGAATTCTCCAGATATAACAATAAAAATCTTTACCTAATTAAAATTAAAATATAATTTATTTGATTTCAAGAGTATCGCTTCTGATGGTGATTAAATTTTAACTATATTTTTATACTTATAACATAAATTAAACATCAATTTTTACAATAATCAATGAATGATAATTTTCTTTTTACAATTTCTTTTCCAATGTAATAATAATAATAATAATTCAAATAGCTAATATGAAGTTAATACATTTGTTAAGGAGGAAATTATTTACATTATGATAATACAACAATAAAAACTAATTTTATAATGTCTTCAAAAAAAAAATCATTTCACTGCTAGAAAATTCATTAATTTCCATTATTACTTTAAAAATATATATTTTATTGACAAATTATTAAAAATTTTATAATCAAATAGGCAGTGATAAGGTTGCCATTATTCTAATATATGCAAACAATATAGACTAAGTTTGTAGAAATGATCAAGCAGAACATGGTTTAGGTAGGCTAGATTCATGCTGCACCAGCATGTGAATATGATATAGGGGACCTTAACATTACATCAATAAAATATTTAAAATCATTTAGGCTTCTTTTGCTATTATGGAGTAAAATTTTCGATTTGTATACCAAATTTTATATGAAAGAAGAATGCGTCTAAATCCTGATATATTTTATTCTCCATTCATTATTTTTTACGCTATTATTGAAATTATATAAGATTAATTAAATTAAACGCATTATTATAATAGGAAAGATATAAAAGAATAAAATAAAACATTTTGAGTTTGAAATATATTTAACTAATCACATTAAGCTATATGAATAATATTATTGGTGACAATTATATAAAAATTAAATTATACAAAATATATGTTTTTTTATATCGATAAAATATAATGTCAAGGACTTCGCTAAATTTTTTTGTTTGGACAGGCCATACTATTATTATAAGTAAGAAAGAGTTTATTTGCATAAAAGCTAGATGATTAAAAAAAATTGATTACAAATTTGTGATACTTTTTGGCTAAAAATTTGCATAAATTATAAATGTTTAATCCTATGCTATATAAATATGTTTATCTAAAAATGTAGACACAACATATTATTGGAGAAAATATTGACCCCCCGTTTAGTTACTTTTCTATGGTACATTTTCATTGATATTTTAATTTAACTGAAATTTCTGAAAGTCAAGGACATTGGAAACTAATTAAAAGCAAAATATTAAGGAAATTTTAGTTATAAAAATATTATTCTTGATATACTTTACTGGTTTAATTTGATAATATATTTATAAAAATGTTAAAAATTAATTCTCTATTCCTATGGGTAGGTATTATTTTATTTTATAAATATATAAGTGTTAAATAATATTAATTATAATGACAATTCAGATATTAATTGCTTTTGCATTCATTTCCTTGTCGATAACAAGTTGCAGTGAAACTGAAAGTATTCTATTATAAATTAATCTAAATGAATTTATTATTGAATTTTAATTCAGACTTCAAATTTATATAATTAAATCTTTTGACTTTCAAAACATAATCTTAATAATAATTTTCAAAAAAAAAAAATGTAAGAAAATATACTTCAAATATTTATAGGAAAATATATTAAAAAATTAATTTTAACTATTTGCTAAAACTTATATTTTAGGCTTATAAATAGGATTTTATTCCAAAACGATATAAAATATTATTCTAAGTTTTATTCTTTGACCTCCTCACCCAAAACAAATTCTTGGAAATAAGACTAAGGGGCTTCAAAATTTTATTATTTAATATTTTATAATAATTATTATTTTTTAAAACAAATATCATAGAAAGATAAAATTTGGACACAAAAAAATAAATATAAACTTTAGATCGTCACATTAGAAGTTACTATGTAGGGAGAACTGTATCAAGCGCCTACTTACCAAAAATTCGCATTGGATAAGCTGACCAACTTTAAAAAGCGTAAAGAAGAGAAGGAAGCTAAATCTCACAATTGATTTATAATTATTATTTTAAAAAAAAATTTAATTATCCAATAATATTTTAATAATTTCTTATTTATATATCATTATCAATAAAAGAGGAATTAAACCTAACATATGTTATAAACATGACGATATTTTTTTTAAAAAAAATCTATTTGCTTTGCTATAGGGATTATTTAGTTCCAATATGGTGTCCTTCTTCAGAAGTATCAGAACTTTTTTAATAGAAATATGGCGACCATTTTAACTTACCACTAAAATCTGAATAAACGCTAAATTAATATTTTTTTAAAGTCTCACTATATTATTTGTGTATAATAAGGATATCACGTGACTAAAAAAAACTATATTAAACTGGGGTCTTATCACCAAAATTTAGCATATATCTTGTTTACTTCACTTAGTTTCGTAGAATTCTAATCGAGACTCCTTGAAGTTTGTTTTTTTTTTGAAACCTCCTTATTCTCAAGTTATTTCGCCAAAATTAAATATTATATTTCTTACTAAAAGTCCATTCATAAATAAGCACGTATTAATTGTATAATATATATCTGGCACACTGGCAGTTAATATATGCATACGGATAATTATGAATTTTTAATATAGAATAATAATATTGTAAAAAAGCGATATTTTTTAAAATGAAAAAAATGTGTTTAAGTTACATGATAAATTTGTTACTAAATTCAAATGAAGTTGGGGATTCGGTAGAAACGTTATGTAAGCCCATAAATTGATATTTATAAAAAGGCATGTTATAAAAAATAAAGCAGTTAAGTAAATTTGGAAAATCGTATCAGAAAAATGAGGTGCAGGGTTTAAATAATCATGGTATTCTTCTCGATTATTTCTTTGAATTTGGAGGGCATTCAACGCAACGCGGATAACGCGAATTAGGACCTTTATTGTCACAAAACTGTTCAAATCCTATTGAAAAAGTTTTACAAATTGATTTAATTATGTAACTTTTACCGTGATTTCCCAATGTATTCGTTTTGATCATAATCGGGATCTCTAATCCATGGATCGTCTTTCCTTAGGATAAAATTATAAATTTTGATGATTGTAAAAAAAAAAAATAATGTTTAATGAGGATTTTGTTTAAAATATAATATAAAATTGAAATGTTTATATGATATAATACCCTTTTTTTCCCTTCTAAAAATTATAAATCTAAACACTCGAACAAATTTATATAGGTGGTCACAAATTAGTTTATAAGTAAAAAAAAAAAATGAAGAACTTTGGGGCCAGAGGTCCGTAAAATATCAGCACATTCAAACAAAGAAGTCTCTCTACTACTTTACACATTTTTTAAATATTGAGCGAGATTTTCTTTCTACCATTGCTGACCGGTATACATGGCCTAAACCAAGAAAAAAAAATTATATTTTATCTCCCAACACTGCCTACCCGCTAAGATAATGGTACAGATACATTTTTGACACCTTAATTTATTATCGAATATTTCGTGTATAATAATTATTTTAGAAAAATTAGTTTAAATTTTATTATGTTAGCTTACTTAATAGTAGTTCTTTAATGTGACATAAAGATAAATATGATGGAAATCATTAATATCGAAAACCGGATGTATAAATCCGGCAAAGCCCATAGAAAAAAATTTGTTTAAAATTTTAGGTTTAAATAAGGTTTAATATAGTTTTCTCACATCAAATATAAAATGAAACAATATTATATAAAAACGGAGGTGGGACTACAAGTTCCCAAAAAACAAGAGTAATTATATTTTAAAATTATGATTTGAAGGTTTTGTTTTAAAAAATAAAATTCTTTAGGTTCTGATGTAAGGGCTCTTGTCTTATCCCCTATATTTTTTAAAAACTTTAAAGTTCAAGCGGAACTTTAAAATTTTAAAATAGAAAAAAAATAGGTATTTTTAATTTCAAATTTTTTCTCTGGATAGATATCGATCAGGGTTCAACCGGGTTCAGTGTATTGTTTACATACATATAAGATATTTGTATAATTGTAAATACAAATATTAATAATTTACTTGACATTTTTAAATATTTTCAAATTTCCAATTAAGTGAAGTGTTAAGTTAATAAATTTTAAACAACTTAATTCATTCACTCCATTTTTAATATTTTTTTTAAAATTTATTCTCAAAGATTCCTATCCTTCCACACGATTCGTAGATATAACTTACACCTCCAGTCTTCATTATTATGGAAGCTCGTATCTAGTTACAAATTGACAATATTCGATATACCACTTGAAGATATGAAGCTAGCTTTGAACTACTGGGATAATTTTTATATTTCATCAACTGCGAATGTCATATTGACCCCCTAAAAAAAATAGAATATAGAAAAGGCGATGAGGATCCAAAATAAAATTTAGGCTAGAACGTGATCCATCTATTTCTAAATGCATTAATTTGTATCCCCAAACTTTGTTCTCTATATTTTTGACAATTTAAAAAACTAATCTATAATAAAAATTATATACATCTTGTTAGTTGAGTAAGACATAGGTTTGTGTCCTGCTATTGTATAGCATAGTACCCAAAATAAGAGTCTAATTTATGTACAAAAATATTATATTAATCGAAAGTAAAGCAAACTTAAATGTTAATAATTTACCGGTCCGGACCACGGTCCTCAAAAAAAGATCGGTCCGACAATCGGTTCGGTCCCGGTTTAAAACCGATAGGACCGGACTGTTGACCTTCGCTAGGTAATATTTAGATTATTTTTCTTAAAAAACAAAATAATAAGATGGTGATATATGTCAATAACAATATATCTGCCATTTGCTCTTTACTGCTCATGGATAATCAATAATGGTTCGGAATACGGGGTTCACCTAGAAATCAATCAATCTGTAACAGATGTTATTTATACTTTTTTTATTTATGAACTAATAGAAAAAAAAAACTATTTTATAAAGCCAATATATATATATAATATAATATAAGGCAATTTATTGAACAAAACGGTTCAAACTTCAACACTGACAATTTATAACTGCTATATTTTGATTTGTTATTTAGATAATTAAATATTATTTGTAAAAAAGAAAGGAAAATATAAGTATACCAATATAATTAAAAGGAGGAAGTTGAAGTCTTTTTTTTTAATGACCAATGGCATTTCCTACAATATTTTGGAAGATCAAAATGATTTGCTTCGTGGCATAGCGCGCGAGAAAGAACATGAGTTATCAAGAGACCAGAGAAAAAATGATAAATGTAACCGCGAATATTCTATTTGGAATATTTCGCCTTTGTAACTTATAATAACTATAGGAATCGTTTTGTTAATCAAAATTCGTTATAATTTAGCTATGTTGTAAATAATTTTATTGGTTATTATAGGGTTTAGGTATTTTTGTACAACATTTTTGCTTTATTCATCATAAAGAAAAATACTGACATTCAGCTTTGCATCAGGATCAGTAGAGAAAAGCTGTTTTTATCATTGATCTATACACTTGGATTGTTTACCTTTGATTTAGTCAATATTTTTTAAAAAAAATGGCCAAGTAAAGATTTTGGGCTAATCGCTCGATAAAAGATGACAGTAAGGGTCTGTCTGCCCTTTTTTTTAGCGATATTGTCATATTTATTGTAATACTTTGGGCTAAACCTTGATCAAAAATGGCGTAGTTAAGGGGGAAAAGAGATTATTTATTGGGTTGGACCCAAAACTCTAGGTGGGTAAAGGACACATTTTGTTTAAAAATGCTCAATGTCCGTAAGGAAAGATGTTCTTCCAAAAAAAACAGACATTATTCTACAGGCGGTGGGTTGGGGGTGAGGGGTTGGGTGGCGACATAAGAAGTGCGTGCTAGGCCAGATTGTTTATCAGAAAAAAATAATTCAAAGGAACGATAAAAAAAAATAAAATAAATATTCATTAAGTATATGACATGGCAAAAGCAACTCTCTCAAACTCTTTTTTACGGTTAACATGTACCTTTTTTTATTAGACTTGCTATAGGCCAAAATTTTTATATTAAACCAATGGTGGCATTATTTTCTTTTCTTTTCTTTTCTTTCATTCTTTCTTTTTAAATATTATAAATCCATATCGTTTTGTTTGTATAAAATACGAACACATTCAACTTCTTTTATTTGGTAAATAAACATTGAACGTGGACATATTTCGATAATTGTTAATGAACGCGGCACGCGAAAAAGTAAGTTCTCCCCAAAGAATGTTTGCGGCCCTCACTAAAAATAATACTACTTATTCAACATTCTAAGCTTCTTGTTCAACATTCTAAGCTTCTTGTTCAATTCCTATTAGAAAAGTGACGAAGCTTGTTTTGTGTGATTTTCTTTAGGGTTAGGCGAGCCGACCCTGAACCGAACCTTTAAAACTAATATGAAAGTTATTATATTGCTTGTTTTTTTAAAAAAAATTTATTATCGTCCAATTTTGATTGATAAGTTATCAATCACGATTTTTAAAAATTTTTGTACATCGCTATATTAAACAACATATTTTTTTTAAATTGACTTCCCTTTTAAATTTTATACCAATAAATAAATTACTTACGTAGAGTATTATAAACGATACATCAAATGTATTGAATCGCGATACAATTATGAAAGTCCTCATTTTGATATTTATTTTAGACCCAAGGAAAGGGGGAAAAGTAGTCCGTAGTAAAATAAATGTCTCATGTTAACATTGGGGATCAGAAATTTAGATTATGATTGACAGGGAAGAAGTGTATCTGAGATAATGATAAAAGGAAGGAATAAAGAATGCATTTGGATATAATTTTTTAAAAAAACATTCGACTAACTTACTCTTTCTAATATTCTGTCCAATCAACTACAATGATGCTGGATTTATTTTACCAAGCCCTAAGATAAGATTGATCATGACTGACCAATGATACAATGGATCAATCAATGACCCCCACTAAACCGTTAAGATTAAATGACAATCAACGGTACAATATCCATCAAGTTATGACCCAAATGACCGTTAAAATTAAATGCCAATCAACAGCACAAATGACAATTATATATGGTTAAGGAAAAAAAATGGATGGAACTTCCTCGAACTGAAGAAAGAAAATTTAATGATTTATTAGAATTTATGTAAACATTTACATAGATTATATATATATATATACCTAAATTTTATGGGGGGGGGGGGGGCGTGTTGTATCAGTCCATTTATAATTGACATTTATAAACGTTTTATATTTTTCGAGGAGAAAAAAAAAAATTGTTTTTTATATAACAAATATTTAGCGCGTAAACACAAATAAAACCATTAATCCAATATTTAGGTAAAGATATTTAATTTTATTTATGATTTAGGATAAAGGAGAAGACACATTTCTTAACTCATATATAGAAAGTAGTTAATTTTTTTTTAGGCTGCATTCAAAATGGAGACGGATTCATTTATTTTACATCCGTTCCGTCAAAAGTCAATCTCTCATTATAATTTGCCGGATCGGATAGTCGAAATGTTTTGACTTCAAAATTTGGACCGATCCGTTTATAAGACGGAAGGTATCGGAACGGATTGACTTTTGACGGAACGGACACTTCGAATTCCAGCCTAAATTTATATTTAAAGTAATTCCGTTAATTGACGTTCAACATTTAAAACCGGAATATGTATCGTTTTTAAAAATACCTATTCATTGCAAATCGTACCTGATGTAACGTGAGGTGGGGGGGGGGGCTTCCCTTGTAAATATTTAGTTGATTTTTTTTTTCCTAATATTATTTACGAGAATATACTTAAAATTACAATTTTTTTTTCTAACAGTTTATTGGTATATAAAAACGCCCTCTATATATAAAAAAAAGGGAATTGGGACTAACAGTTCCCAAAAACAGGAAATAGATATATTAAAAAACTTTTGTTTCAACATGTAAAATTCCCTAAGTTCCGGTGTAAGGGGTAGAAATTTTCGAGCTATATTTTTTGTTAAAATTTTACCTAGACTGAAGAGGCATCCATTAAAAGTGTACGTCAATCGAAAACAGCTGGTGACGCCATTTTGGTTACCTATATCACTATTTAAAAATTTATTTTAAACGAGAAGGCCAATTTATTCCTGTTGTCTGACGCAAACTTTATCAAAAGAATTGCCCGATCACCGAAAATAACGAGGAAGCAAAGTTATCAAATTTGATAGTAGTTTTTTTTAAAATGAGGATATTTTCTATGAGGGTTAGCAAAATGGCGACTCCAGTTGATTAGCAATTCTTATGATTGCATCGTTCAGTCTAGGTATTATTATATGTCATTGGTTCATATATGCCTAGGGGAAGAAATGAAGATTGGTAAAAAAAAAACATATGTTAATTTAGAATATTTATTTATATATTTTTTTTCTCTTGGCTTTTATCAACAAGGATTAGAATTTATATATTTTTTTGAAAAATAAAGAGGCATATGTGAAGTCCCAAATTAAAGATTTACCTAAAAAAAATCAAGGCACATAGTTTAAACTATCTGGCTTCGAGCCATCACCTGAAGATAAATAAGCATGCTCCAGTATTGTTAGGTATTATTCAGCATCTATTTGCCAAATTTTGATGCTCACATGATATTAATTTAAATCTTATAGGGCTTTTTAACAACTAGTTTTAAGTTTTATTACGATAGCACTGCTGCCTCGAATGACATGAGCATACGCATTGGTTGCATTAAAAAATTGGGGTAACAGTCTTGTCATGATCATCTTATTATAATTGATATGAGTGGTCATTATCATTTCTTATAACGGCTTAAGTTAATAAAAAGAAGGAAAGACCCTAGGAGCTTCTGTATATAGTTACAGTTAGTTGGAAATAAAATTTTAAAAAATATTTTTAACCACTGAAAAATATATCACGGATGTGCAAATATTGGAAAAGGTTTATGACATGATTAGCACCAATAACACCTTTACACAAAACAATAGATTTACCACTACATGACGGCTTACGCTTAAAGCTAGAAAATATGCAATGTATAATGTATTACATAAATTTTTTTTTAAATATATGAATATATTAAGAGGTTCTTTTAAAATAAGGGCTGGCGTCCTAAATCAAATTTCAAATATAGATAATGATAATTTTTTTTAAAAAAAAGAAGCCTGTAACTATATTACAGGAAATTAGGGAAAAGCATTGGCAACTATATCAAAACAGCTCTAATTAGATTCTTCATTAATAATTATGCCAAACAATGTTTCCAACGATAGAGTTCGAATAATAAAAGTAAAACCTAAAAATGTTATCAAATTGAGATAATCTTAGGAATTAGGATCGAATGTTGAATTAGTTGATAAAAATCCAGATAACGGTTCAGTATGTAAAAAATTATGATGGTTACGGTTCTTAAGAAGAAATTTATAAAGGTTCGGTTTAGCTAATTATAAAGGTTTATAAAGGTTCATTGGGGTTAGAAATTTTTTTCTTTATTGAAGCCGCACCATCTTTCTAATTTATTTTTATTATAAGCAATCTATGAATTATATATAAAAAAAATAAATATATAAGATTCAAAATAACTCATTTTTAATTATACTATTTGGAATATAAATGGATTCCTTTTTGTTCGTTGTGACGATAAGATAAATTTTAGCCCCGAAAAAAGCCCTTTCTACAGAAACTTGTGTTGCGGGAACCGCCAGTACTATAAGAGCAAGTTTATATATTTTCTGGATATTCGAATTGTTTCCATTTCTAAAACATAAAAACTGAACCGGTTTAACAGTTTTTTATAAAGGTCGGTTACAGATGGTTCAGATATTTATAACGGTACGTTAGGGTTCACTCCGGGCATCTATAAAAAATCTATTACAAAAAACACTTGATGATCACGTAAAGTCTGATAACATGATTTTTTTTGCATTCATATGATGATTATAATCTAATAGCTGGTCACGCGAGGTTATAATTTTTTTTAAAGTTGTGGATATGAAATATTTCAATTCAACAATTTCAATTACTTTGATAATGTTATTGTTTCTTGTGGTGATGGATAGATTTTAGCTGGCATATCATCTGCAATAAAGCACAAGAAACACAAACTGTAAAATATATGGTGTTGAGCCATATGGAGGTAAGATAATTTTTTCTAGGCATATTAAATATTCCATAATTTTACATATTATCCCTAAATTTTTATTAAAAACCAGAACTATTCTTAAACGAACTAATGAAATAATTTAATATTACTATTTTTTTTTTCATACAAATTGTATTGGGAATATTATTAAAATTGTATTAGTGATTGAAACAAATTTTATCCATGTTAGGCATCTTCCTGAAATTGATCAAACTCAATCTATATTTTTTGAAGTTCTCAGGTGTAAATTTGCTTCCTTAATAATATAAAAGAATAGCTTAATTTATAAAAAAATGAACGCAGAATCATTTAAAGGGATCAAACTTTTTATAACTTTAGTGGGCTTTTGAAAAAAAAAACACATTTTTTGACTAAAAATTAAGTTTCTTTGATAGGTGAACGCGTATTTTTAAGTTATTCCCATTTTGAATGATAAGGAATTAAAAACAAACATTTTTATTTAAACATAGATATTTTACATTCGAATCGGGAATAATCATAGCAGCTCTTGCATCTTTGTCTACTAGCCACCAATGCCAGAGCTGGGAACCAAAATTGAAAAACCAAGATTACCGAAATATTGTATTGGTATTGGGCTTAATATTGCCTAAGTCTTATGATTTCGCTACTAGATGTCCAAACCTTCGTACCATCTACGAGCAAAATATGCAGGCTTGCAATGATATATTGAGTTAGCCTGAATATAAATGTTAAAATCCAAGACAAGAAAAAAATGGAAAATTTTTCTCTACCCAGAATCTTAAATAAATCAAAGAAGAAAAAAAAATTATCAAATTGAATACATTATTTTTTTTAAAAAACTTTTTCGTATTATCATTTTTCCTAATTACTATCTTGACTTTGGTCTTTTTTGAAATCCGATCCAAACCTTTATGATAAAGTTGAAGTATAGTAATTTTTAGCTAAAACGGATAATGTATCTGAAAAGATTGGGAAATAGTCTAAACAGGATACAAATCTAGGATAGACACAAATTTAAAGACATGTTGACACAAACCGACGTATAATAACTAATATATTATTTTTTTTTGTGTGGTTTTTAAAAATGATTAATTATTAAACACTACGTTATATTTTTTTAAAATAAGTACTGTATCGATGAAAAGTATAGTTGGGTAATAATTACTATATTTTTAACGGATTAAACCGACTTTTTAGCCCAAAAACTATCTTGGTTCACAGGGTTAACGGATTTTCTCGGGCACACGACAGTAAATTGAGCCAACATTTAGCCACTACCCAACTACAATGAAAAGCGTGGTAACGATTCATTTCTGATATTCGGTATCCCCGGTATTCTTTTAGAAGGTTCCATATGCTTAATAATCAATTTAAAATTTAACATCGATAAAGAAATTTCCTTTTTATTTAATGAAAAAACGGACATCATTACGAACATAAGCAAATATAAAATAGACATCGTTAAAAACAATTTTTGCTGAAATAAAAAAATTATTATTTAAAAAAAACACGGGAATGAAAAAAAAAATGACACAATTAAAATAAAAGTTACATTATACCTTAAAAATCTTATAAATAACCCTTTGTTCCTATATAAATAAATTATCTACTTTATATAAATAATTATAATGGTGTCTCAAGTATACGTTAATAATGATTATGAAACACTTATAATTTCGATATCTATTTAAAAAATATATAGTATACATGGTAATATAAAAACGAATTTTACGCAAATATTTGACATAGATTAATTGGGATATGCTATAAAAAATTTTTTTTTTTACAAATAATAGATGTTTTATATTAAATAATTCTTTGGGGAATGTAGATTCAGTGTGCAAAAGCATGATTTTGGATTTGATTAGTATACAGGCAAGACGTTATTTCATGTACACCTATTTTTATAATAAATAGCAAATGATTATGTATTAAAAATTCAATCCTAAAATGTGTACAATAGTGCTTTCAAATCATAATTGTTGATAATACGTGAAAAAAAATTACGATAAAACAGGGGGGGGGCGTTTACCAATTTGTACGATTTCATTTAAAAACATATATATATTAATGCCTTGATTTGGAAAGCTCCATAAGAAGGTATTTATATAGGTATTAGTAGTGGTGTACCGATATCACTTTTTGGAGGCCAATCCGATCCGATATTCCCAATATTAAAATGATATCGGCCTATTACCGATCCAATATCATGTATAATTTTGTATTCTGTAAAGATACCAATGGTTTTAATTTTTAATATACTTTTTATTAGTCTATAATTTAACTATAATACTGTAACTTATATCATTTAAATATATTATGTTTATATTCAATTCTTATAAGTAATACATTAATCTATATATATAATAAGTAATAAAACAAACATATATGAAATTTGAAATAAATATTTAAAATAATATTTAACATTAAAATCTCAAAGATTCCTTTACAGAAATACCAAAATTTCCAATTTATCAGAGGTCAGCATGCGGCGATGGTTACTGACAATATCATCAACTTCACTAAAAACTGATTGTGAAGAGATTATCACACACTTTTATAAACAGAATGGCCAAAAAAATAACAATATGGCAGAATATTTATTAATTAATTAATTATTAAAAAAATATTACATAAAAATGGATTTCGATTTTATTTATAAAAATAAATGATTTTAGATATAACTTGTTTTTTAAAAAATTCATAACATTTTATTTTTGTTAAAGACGCCATTTTGTATCGGATCGGAAATTGTATAATATTGACCGATAACCGATATTTTAAAATGGGTGAAATATCGGCCCGATCCAATCCTGTAAAAAATATCGGTGCATCCCTAGGTATTAGTATTACCTAGAATCTCTATAGGCCCTCACATAAACCGCTGCATCTCTTCTCATAACATAACACTTAAGTCAAAAGGAAAAATAGTTGTTTTAAAAAAAATAAATAATAATGGTAAATTTTTAATTAACATTTATATTTTTAGATAAATTATTACGTATATAAATTTTATCTTAAATTAATTATTATGCATTTATGTTGGATATCGAAATTTCTTTAATTTGTATTTCATTACACATGTTATTATTCCTTATCACCCACCATCTTTTTATAATCGTTATCATTACCAGTTTTTTTTTGAGAATATGCTTGTTTAAAAATCTCGCGTCTTATTTTGGTGAAAATTGAAACACTATTCTTTCATGTATTGGATAAATAAAAGCGATGTACATAGTGCAGAATATGTCTTAGTTAATTAGCTGCAAAATATATCAAAAACACTAATTTCCTAATTAAATGATATAATTTTAATTAGACCTATATAGCAAGATGCTTTTTAAATGGATCTAGATACAGATACAACGTCTAAAATAATATCTAGATACAGATTATATAATCAAAAATCTATCTAGATACAGATACCACATTTTTAAATCTAAATACAGGATCTAGATACTTTAACAACTCTGCTATATAGCTTATATTACACATTACATAGTAAACTTTAAAAAAAAATAGACGAATCTCCTTCTCCCAATAAATGATTTGCCAATGTAAATCTTCCTATGAAAACGATTATAAAATCAATAAATTTAAAATTGCCAATATGAATACTTGATAGGGCGGGAATGTATCAGGATCCAAATAAGTCCCGTCGTAATCCAAACTAGAAACCATTGATCTTTTGGAGAGTTCAATATTTTCTAAGAAAAAATCGTGAACCACAGCCGGTCCGGGTGGTGGGCCGGCGGGGTTATATGGACCGGGGATATGAACGACGGCTTTTTGACTAACGTAGCCCGGGGCTGAGGCCGATATCAAATAATCGCTACCAGGGGTTAGCAGTCTAAAATAATCGCCGTAAGAGCCTAAAAAACGCATTCATTTAAAATAATAATTTTATGTTACTTTATTTTAAAACAAAAATTTTAACATCTAATTTTAAAAAATAAAGTGTTTGACATTGAAATCCAAATATAATATCTTTTATTCTTGATACAACGAATCCGTAACGACAAACTAAATCTCATTTAATATTACAACACGCGATCTTTAAAAGAGTTTAGATATTTACTGGAGGTTATATCGTGATCAATGTCTAGCCCGTCAGTGAGATTTTTGACGTGGATCAGTGCTCCGGGAATCGTTCTATTTCCGTTCGATTTGTCGTAAATGACGCCCTTGACCCCATTGTGTACCTTTTACGATACATTTAATTTAAACCGTAAATTTTTGATTACAAAAAAAATACTATTTATATAATTCGAAGCATAAATTTCGATAATTAATAACCGGTAAAATTATAAATCCGTTATGATCAGTTCAAAAACCGACCAAAATTCTCGAAATCGGCTCAAATGTAAAAGACGGATTCCATAAAACGGGAACCCTTCCTTAGTGCATATTTCAATCTCTGTTTTTAATCCCAACATTCGGCACAACTGATTGGAGAGGAACGACAATTTTCCCTTTAAATTACCAAAAAATAAACGCATAATAAATTCAAATCGAAAAACCTGCCAAATAAAATTAACCAGCGCGTTTTTGTTGTCGTCCCAGTACTGGGTTAATTTGGAAGCGGGCGGAAACTTGTCGCAACTCAGCTCGAGCGTTATTTCGAAAGCGTTCGTGGCCAGGTAGTTAAAATCTTGCATTCCTGCATGGCGTGTATACATATAGCAAGCCATAACGGATAAAACGTATATTAACGGCCCCTAAAGGGGCTTATTTAACACTTATCATATCAAGTAGATTCTACCATATAAAAAAAAATAATGAGTCAATCAGTTTACCCCCGGCTATACTGTACCAATCTGCCCCGTTAGTTATCCCGTTTTGGTCTCCGAAATTTTTATCCGTCATGCTACAAGCTTGCCTAGACGCGTTGGACATGATCGGGTGAAGCAGCGAATACGATTTGGCCAAATATCTACACCATCGACATATTTTTAAGATTCAATGGGATTTTAATAAGAATTCACATGATATATTAAGAGTGGAATCATTCGCTTTTCCTAGTGGATTAATAGATTTTCTTAAAAAAAAGAAATTAAGGAATCTCATTGTGAAATAAGCAATCGAATAATAAAATCAATATATTTTACCCTTGATTATTGATTTTTAAACCTAGTGGAGAGAGAGATGAGTAGGTTTTTTGGGGTGGAGTAAAAGGTAAATGAAATTTTTAAAAATACGTCAATCATTAAATAGACAATTTTATTATACAAAAACCTGAAGGTCATATCGTCGGGAGTTTGGGAATATTCCTGAATATTCCCGGTCCGGCTTTCGTCGTAGGGGTAATTGGCGACAATGTCCCCCTCGTGGAGGTTCGCGGATAGCACGAAGGGATAATCGAACATCCACCAAATGACGGCCTCCGTCTCGGGTTGTAACTTACGTATTTTTGTATCCAGAAATTCACAGGATTATTACTAACATATATGTATATATATATATCCATATTATAATATAATGATCCGACTTTACAAACGTAGAAACCGTGTTACGATCAGCTGATTTGTCGACAGCGAGTTTATTAAAAAAATAAACTAAATCGAACGTCCGATGAATTTATATACAACGCGTCTAAAGAACTTACCCGGTAATTTAGTTTGGGTATGAGTTTGAAGAAGTGATTGTTCTGCCTTTTTTCCGGAACATCGAAGAATTGCGCCTTCCTGGAGTTCCCGATGTGGTTGGGCAAAGGGCGGTAAACCAAATTCCCCAATTCATTTCCGTAGGCCAGCTTATCGAGATCGGGAAAGTTCCTGTTCAGGTCAACCCCGTTAGCGTTGTCCCTCCCCTTGAGCCAATCATCTCCGCCGTGAACCTAAATTAAGCGTTAAAATATTTAACTCTTCGGTCCATTTATGACTCATTCGACATTAGCGCAAATTCGCGGCGAATTTATTTCAAAAAAAAAACGTAACGCATCGGCATCAAAACGAATTTATATCATTAATAAATGATATTTAAATTATTTAAGAATTGGAAAATTCGATGTTTTATATTCTCCCTCCATTGTTCCTTACGGAATTATGGCTGATCTAGCCTTTGCTCCTTGTAGAAGCATCTTACGAAAACTCATCCCACGAATGATACCAGTCCAGAAGAAAAACGTTCTGATTTTATAACTCAAGTAGTGCCAGAACGCGGGTTGAACGCACAATTGGCATATCAACCGCTAAACGCGGGCTTTTTTCCCCTAAAGCTACAGAGCTCAGTCCTAAATGCGGATAAAAAACAAAATGCGCTTATTTATATATTTATATCATTGATCACGATAAAAATCGATATCTGCGACCAAATATTATACCCATTCCTAAATATTCAAAGCAGAACTGCGAACCTGACATGTAAGGGTTTCAGGGTTCAAGATCGGATTTTACCGGAAATGTATTCTATCATGATTGGTTCATGGGAAAATTGTCCGAATTTCGTAGGGCAGGTATTCCAAAAATGGCGGCATACACTTCCGGTAAAATCGGATTTTTGAATTTTTGAAAAGCGCGCTCAAAAAAATGATTTTAAGTTGAAAAAAATACGTTGACGCTGACATCCATTTTTTTTGTAAATTTGGATTTTTTTCTGGACATCGTACCCTAAACTCGAACCTGGAGGAGGGTTCAGCTAGAGCCCTGATTCGAAGATCGAGTTGCCGAATGCAAGAGAAATGAGAGACTTATTCTGAGACCATTTTAACTCGCCAAATTATATATAATTCAACATTAAACATTACATTTGTATAAGTATATGGAAATCAATCATTATAGCTTACACGTACCCCGGTGAATAAACTCAATGTTAGTATTTTAATATAAGATATATTTTAGTTGTGTAATACAAAACCTTCTTATATTCGTTCCCCGTGGTTTCCTATCCACATTTCGTACCAATAATACTGACAATTATTTTAGCTGCATCTTTAATTTTCACTGGTGCCTACTTTGCCCCATCTATCAAAGACGTGCACCATATTCCACCAGGATCACTGAGGATTTCCAACAAATATGCCATATTTCAACACATTCCTGGCTTACACAGTGAATAATGATTTCACTTATAAAGAGGCAGAGAAAGGGTTATAACGGACATGTCGGTTTAATTTTAAAAAAAAATAAAACTGTACCCGGATTCGAGAATATCCGGTTCTACATCGGTTTTTCAAGATAATATTATTTATATGGAGATAAGTTTAATCTTTTAATTAAACCCCCTCCCCATAATATATAAAATAATATCTTTTAACAATGAAAGAAATTTGAACAATGAAAAAAGCATAATATTTTTTTTCTTCGTATTATCATATCATTATCACGTATCACGGTAATGCCAAGTTTAAAGTAATCATTAAATATTTAAGGAATTATTATAATACGTTTATCGATCGAGGGAGAAAAAAAAAATTTTTTTTCTTTTAAGTCTGACAAATGCCGACGAAGAATTAAATCGGTAATTGGAGTAATGGATAATTTTTAAATAAATATCTTTTTAAAATTTTGCGGGAGAATATGAAATAAATATGAGAATGAATAAAAGGCTCTCTTATAATGGGTCGCCATTTTGAGACCAGAGGACCAAACGAAAAAACCGATCTATGGGGAGACCCATCGAACACGGGGCAATATGGACCAGGGGCGGGTTCGACCTCTTTCTTTCAATAAATCGATTTTCGAATAAGCTCCGGTAATCTAATCCCCTCTAAATAAGGGTTGAAGTCCAGAACACTACTTTTTTTTGTGGTTGATAAAAAAAAATGTCAGAAAAATTAGGTTATGTCAATCAAATGCATATTAGAAATAGGTTATAAAAATAAAATCAAAAAGGATTCTTCGTAGGCTAGATAAACTTGCCTTTGCAGGCTTAAAAATATGAACCTAAGTTTCTTTTTAGCCATGAGCTATGAGACCTATCCCTCAAGTTTTTCTGTTGACGATACAGCACAAAACCGAATAAATGAGACGCGTCGGGACCGAAAAATTTAATATTTTAGCACTTATCCAAGACTAAATTTTAATTATTTAGTGTATAAAAGCCAATTTTGTGTCGTTAATAGCAAATATATTATATGCAAGGTAATATTAAATTTGTTGTAAAAATATTTTGTTTTGCAATTTGTGTCCAATCTGTGAAATGACATATGATTAAATTTAAAAAATTGTCGAATCATGGCTCGGTTATATTAGTTACTACAAAGGCAAATTAATCCACATAACGAACAATATTACCCAAACAACAAATTTTGAAAATCACGATTCTCAGAAAAATGTCAATCAAAATTTTGAATGAATGGTACCCCTCAATCATCAAGCCAATTCTAATATTCAACAACTTCAGCAAACAAGGATATCAAAAAAAAAGAAATATACTTTTAAGACAAGGAGAATTTATAAAAAAAAAAATAATACATTTAACAGCTGATTCATCTTTTAAAATTAATATAATTAAACATCATTCACCCAGAATTTTTTAAATAAATCTTTTATTTTGTATGATTAAAAACACCTATTCATTCAAGTCATTTACAATTTTTTTTGCACAGATATGTATTACTTATTATGGTAAAATTTGTAATTTTTATCAGGGCTAACTTTTATTTTAAAGAAAGAAAGAAAGAAAGAAAGAAAGAAAGAAAGAAAGAAAGAAAGAAAGAAAGAAAGAAAGAAAGAAAGAAAGAAAGAAAGAAAGAAAGAAAGAAAGAAAGAAAGAAAGAAAGAAAGAAAGAAAGAAAGAAAGAAAGAACCTTTATATTATTTTTTTCACAACAATTTGTAAAAAAAAAATGTGAATTTATAGTGTAGTGGCAAAGATAAACTTTTAAACATTTCAAAAATACATGTACACATTTATGAAATAAATTTGGATGAATAATTTTTATAAAAATTAATTGATTGATTTAAAATAATTTGTATAATTAAAGGACAGACAGCCAAAAGAGATGTTGTCAAAATTCAATAAATTTTAAATCTAAATTGAAATCATCATCCAGATTCTTAACCAAGTCATGAATGTTTAAAGTAAAAGGGACTTAAAGGTAATTACGCGTGACCCATCGTATCACGGTGGGTCACGCGTGAGTGTGAAAAGCGTGACTGGGCGTGACGGGCCTTCCCAAAATTTTCCGCGGGCGTGATCGGGCGTGAACATAAATTTCCCGCGAATCACGGAAATTTTAATTTTTAAAATTGTTTTTTATTTATAAATATAAATTTGCAATTTTATAATTATATTATATATTTTCTTATTTAATTTAGTTCTTTTTTTTAAAAAAAAAGAAAAAATTTATGAACACTAAAAATCTTCCGCATTTTATAAACAACATCCGGTATCATTTCGTTAGTTCTATTTTCTTTTTATGTTTAGGTGTTTTTTTATCGCGAAACTTTATGCTAAATTTTGCTTAAACTTTTTACAGAAAAGTCAGTTTTATTTTATTTGTAAAGATCTTCAATCTTTAAACAGAAAGTGAAGAATTTTACAAGCCAGGTCAAGAGATAAATGTTGGTGTTGCATATGGATAACAAAATAAAAAAGTTGTAAACTAGAAAAATCTCATGAATACTATAGGTCCAAAAATAAACCATTAAATAAAATTAAGATTAAAAGCATGATCAATAATAATTACTTGTCGATAATCACTGATGGACAGATGACTATAAAAATCTAAGTTTTTTTAACCATTATAGGACATATTATCATTAAGAATTTTAATTAAAAACATTTGTTTTGGCCACCAAGGCAATGGATGAAAAAAATGTCAACAATATAAGTGTAGTCAATTCAATTTTAGGAGAATATACAGAAGTAGAAAATTACTTAAATAAATGTATAGTTGTGAGTGATAACGGAGCAAATCTTATAAGTGCATTCAAAGATGACGAAACGCTAGCATATATATGCCATATACTAAATAATATTATGCGTTATATTTTTGACAATTGTTTAACTGAAATAGCCAAGATGTAACAGCGAGAATAACGGGATGGAACTCTGTATATATCATGATACAGAGTTTCTTAAAATCATATTCTGAAATACAGGTGTACTCGTTTAGCAAGCAAGAATTAAATAGATTAGCCACAATTGGTATCAGCATCATACGCGAGTTAGATAAATTTTTATCAATATTTATAAGAATGCTAGGATAATCTGAGAGCAGATTCCCGACCCACAGTTAATGAAATTTGTCTATGGAAACAAAAATTAATAAAATTTTGTTAACCTTCTGAACGTACTACAATGATAATCAAAACCTTAAAATAGAGAACAAGATTTCTTTTAAAAGATTATTATGCAGCCACTACATAAGGTAGGCTTAATCCTAGATCCGAATTTCAAAAGACTTGAGTTTTTAATAAAAGAAGAAAACGATAGAAATATAAAACAATCTTAAAAATGCTAAATGATATAAAATTAGATGATGTGCATAAGTCAATGCCAACTATCATTTATAACTTTCTTAACTTATCCTAAACTCATAAAAAACCGTATATTCTAAATGATCAATACCAACTATCACTTTCCTAATTCATCCTACACTCATAAAAGACCGTATATTCTAAATAAAAAAACTTAGAGAATTTCTAGATGATTCTGATGAAGCATCAACATCACCGATGGAAGCTGTGAGGATGAACTTAAGATGCATATAAGATAAATAACAAGACAATATTTTGAAGTTTTGGCAGCAGGAATATTCATTTCCTTTTTTTTGAGAAAATTAGCGAGTAATTTTATCAACCTCGATAAGTTAGGCTTCTAGTGAAAGGTTATTTTCTGTAGCCAATCTCTTATTAGAGGAAAGGGGTACACAATTGAAATAAAAAAAAAAGATGGGCATTCTTCTTTTTCTAAATAAATTTCGATTTTATAGATTGTATTTATTTTTTTGTTATCAATATGGATTAAATTAGAGAAATAAAATAGAATGAATTCAAAAAAAAAAGTGTAAAAATTATAGCGATAGTTTTGAAAAATTTAAGAACACCGTGAATTTTCGGGTGTGAATCAAAATATTGCTTGTCGTGAGCGGAAGGGTAGGGTCGGGTCGAAAATTTTTTTAGTGATAAGCGTGAATGGGCGTGATATTTTTTTTAGAATGTAAAATTAGGCTCGCGCCCACCTCTACTTAAAGGATCGTTTTGCTGATTCCCTTTCGAGGAAATGGAATCTCCAAATTTGAGTAATGAGGGGACGCAATCCCAAAAGTTGACCATATTCAGGAAAGCAAGAAGGGGGAGGGGGGACTATTGAAGGAATTTTAGAATTCTAATCAGGGTTGTGCATTTGACCGGTCAAATATGTTTCGGTCAATTGACCGTTATTTGACCGGTCAAATATGGTCAAATACTGTCAAATGTGGTCAAATTCAAATATATGTTTTTTTAAAGTTAATATTAACTTTATTTTGAATATAATAGTAAAATAAAATCTATAATATTAATTTTTTAAATTCATTGTCATTCAATAACTAACGTGTAGCTATTGTAGCGGAGTTCTTGTTCTGATTCATTTTCAATATTATCATTTTCTTTAATATTTTTTAATCAATTTTCCTGATGTCTTAGATCTTCAATCGATTTCCATTTTCATAAGAATATTAACCCTAATCGACCTATTTCTTTCTAAAGAAGAAGTAGAACTAGGAATTGTTAGTCTCTTAATGGGCAGGGTGGACAAAGTTTAATCTATTAACTAGAGGTCGGAATTGATTGTTTCTGGAAATTACTACTTTCCGCATAATTTGCTATATTAAACATGCTGTTTTTGCTTCTGAAATTAATTATATCACTTAAAATATTTTGGTCATCACTACCTTGTAAAAGAGCTAATTCTTGTTATATCACATACTTGTGAGTTCTCCTCTTGATATTGTGAACACAAAAAATAAGCAAACATTGTGATCACATGTATTTACATCTTTTTTCCCTTTTTTAAACATATTTTCAATTTATTCTTCCTTTAAATTTTTTAGAGTATTTGACCGTATTTGACAGGTCAAATACTCCTCCGGTCAATTGACTGAATTTGACTGGTCAATTGACCGACTTGCCACCTGATTCTAATATATAGAAAACCTGAATAAATTGTGTGAAAGATGATAGGCTCCTTGGCAACCATGTATGGCACCGAATCCTTACTGCAAAGGGAATAGAAGGGTATCGCTTAATATCGCCATAATCGGCTTTTTCGGAGATCAATCTACTAAGGAAAGAGTTAGAATTTAAAGAGTTGATTAGCTAAAAAGGGTATAGAAGAAAAATTGTTTAGGAGAGATGTGGGGAATTTAAATAGATTCTGGGACAGCTAATTTCTAAACAAAACTGGAGGCTTGTACTACCACCCAGGCTAGAATCATGCAAGGGATATGATCAAATAAAAGCTGAAACGAGAATATAGGCATAGGGGAGGTAGTGAATAATGTTCCTTTAAGATTCCATCTAAATTAAGGAAAATTATTTAAGCCAGTATGGTAATGTGTGTTTACTGTAATGGAGTTTTAAGATAAATAAATAAACAGATTTAAAAGGGTAATGGAAAAGAGATATATATATGAGGCGTTTATAAAATAAGTATAAGCATATCTAATCGGATTTTTTCAATGTTGAAGTTTTAGGAGGGGAAGAAAAATGAACGGCTACTCTTAGGTGGTAAAAAGATATAAAAGAGGTTAAACATAAACATTAATATACCAATTTATAATTGGTTAAATCAACCAATAGTTATATTTTAGGGAGGAAAAGGCATATTTATATCTATGTAAATATACAATGAAAATTTAGGTAATAGATCAAACGGGAGACAAAATGAATGTTTTATTTGAAAAATAAGCCTTTTATCGAATGCTTAAAATTATCATCTTTTATTATTCTTATAAATTTTAAAATTTTGGTATAATGTTGTTATATAAAGAGAGAATTGGTGGTTAGAGAATATTTAACATATCCTTTATTAAAGCATGTTTCAAAATATATATAACTTTTTATTTAAATAATACATCACTATCTTTATATATCTTTTTTTTTGTCAACAATTTACATGTTTTTTAATAATTCAATTAAATGATCAATCATTTTTAAGTAACAAAAAATGAAAATAAAATGTAATTTAAATGATGATATTAAGCAAAATCTAAATATAAATAATGTCATTGAACTTTTTGTTATTGCCGTAAGACATTAAAACTAAAACATTAAAATAAATAAATATATATATATAACAATAACAATACTCGATTGAGTTAAGAATTTATTGTAATAATTTGTATTTCTAAAAAAGTAAGAATTAAAAAATTTCCAATAATAATAAAAATTTTCTTTTGTTAAAAACAACATAATTATGTTCCTAAAAAGGAACAATCCAGTTAGATTTAATTGTTTATTCTGTCTAAGGAATAAGAATTCCTTAGGTTCAAATATTTGCATTTTGTGAGTAAATTTATTTTTTAAAAAAAAGCAAAAGTGATAGGAAAAAAGTGGAAGTAGCTATTGTCAGGAAAATAAAATTGCAGAGATTTTTAAATATGTTGATCTTTCGAAGGATGTAGTGTACAAAGGATGAGGCTTAGTGTACAATTTAGAATTAGAGATTTACCTATGAGCAATGGGATAGTGATTCTTTGAGTAAGCCTTGGCCTTATGATCCACATTATTGGATGCCGAAAGATCAACGGAAAGCCATTTGATTGGCGGATAAAGGATATTCCAATCAGATTGAATTTATAATTTCATAAGGAAATAAAAGTTGCATCAGTGATAGGTGATTTTAGTTATAATAATTATGTGAGCCGAAATACTACATCTGATATCATAAATCTTTGTTTAAAATCAAATAATACAAATGACAATGTAGTGAATTTTTGTTGGATTAGAATATTTAGTTTTATCATTAGTTGTCCTCAAATGGAGATTTTTTGTGAAACCTGTCATTTTAAAGAATGAAGGAGGAATTTAATTTAATTATAGTATTTGTTTTTTCAAAATGGATAACTATTTCACTTGACATAGTTAATATCCAGCAGTTAATATAAAGGAAATATATTTGTGAAAAATAAGATATTAATCTATTTTTAGAGTTCGGAGTTTGTGGTAAAACTTTGTCACAATCCTGGATATGTTAATCAAGGGGAAAACAAAAAGCCAATAAATATTTTATATATTTATGGCTAAACAACCTTTTAATAGTATAATAAAATAAAATAATAAATAAACATAATTCATCAAAAGTTTTATATTTCCAAAATAAATTTGTAATAATTTCCTATATTATCTGTTAATTAATATTTATTTACTATATTTTTAGAAGTACTTAATATATTTACATTAAAAAGTAAGCAGTCAAAAATAATAAAGTTTATTTAACTAGAGAAGAAACAGCAATTTATAAAAATTCCTATGGAGGCTGTAAATTATTAAAAAATGTTTGATTTTTAAAATATTAATAGGTCAATATTATCTATTTAGAATATTTAAATGGAGGCACAATCCCCATTGCCCCTTATAAGTCAGGACATATGATTTAATGTAAGTTATTAAATAAATTTGTTGAATTCCTTTTAGAAAAAAAAATCTAAATGCTGCTATATAAAATTAATTATGAATAAGAAAATATATGTCTGAATTGTTTTTAATTATAAAAGTCTAATAAATATAAAGCTAACTTTATTCCAAACAGCTTCTTCCCACCCATCTGGATTCATGCTTGGCAATATGTGAATTCTTGTTGAGTTCACTAATTTTTGGATATCTTTGTTTCCATGTTTATATTCATTGCATATATAAACTGCTAGTAACAACAATATTTCTCTTCCCACGATTTCATTGCCATGCATATTACCAATATATTTGAACTCAGGCTTAGCTAAAAATTAATATAAAAAATCATTATTAGAGAATAAATGATTTACTCAATTCATGATGGCCAGGTTTTGTGGTAAATTCTATGACTAAGAGTGTATTATTATTATTGCTGACCATATTTAAGGGGTAAACTCTTGTAATTTCTTTACAGCTTTGATGAACTTGACCCAGTATATCATACATCTCCTGATTGGAATGGTGTTTTGATTCGAAAGGAATAGGCTTGAAAGGGAATGTTTTAACATGAACGATAGTTAAAAAAATTAAAAATATATTAAGGTACAGAAAATTAGCTACTATCATCATCAATCTACTGAAACTCAAAATAAAAATATTTGAAGGATCAACCCATAATAAAAAAAAATAACATATCTATCTAGACATAAAATCCAATTTATAGATAACAATATTAACAAACAAAATAAATAAAGTTTTATAAAAGCTAATAAATTAAACAAATTTATTTGCATTACTATACAAAGTTTATATTGTTTATATATCCAAATATTAGAAATTACAGTAGAATTTTATCATTTATAAAACTATAATCTTTTTACATCCGTATGTTTTTTTAAAATTAGGCAGATTTAATAAATTATTTTATATATCCATGTACACTTATAAAATATAAAATTGATAAATTAAAGAGTATAATTGTCCGTTTCAGGAGAAAAAAATATTTGTAGGCATCGCGGAAAGATTTATTATACTACTAAGCTAAAATTTATTTCCTCTTTGCGGCCACTCCATTGAAAGATACATGGAGGCAAATATTTATTTCCTCTTGCGGCCACTCCATTGAAAGATACATGGAGGCAAATATTTACCCCCTTATTCATGTAGACGCATTTTCAGCAAATCCGTAATTTGATTTATATCCCAGAATGAAATATTTCTATATAAATACATTGACATTGTGTATACTCCCCATAGCATGATTAGGAAAGTAATCAATATAAGATATTAAGCAAGACATAAACTTTTGCTTAATTTAGATAATATTTATGTAATTTAGGCCTATTATCAATGATTCCTCATTTGATATGCGATTTATTCAAGACAGATCTGTAACTTTATCAAAAAAATATTTTATTCTATTTAAAAAATTTAGTATTAAATCAAATAATTGTTTATTGCATGCATGGGCGCTAAAGTGTCTTAAATTCAGTGCCTACTTTGTAAAATCTAATAACAATAAGCTAATTGCATACTATTTTTAAAAATAATTAGCATATATATTTTGGTAATATGAATATTCTTTATCTATAAAACGTGTCAAGATCTGTTTATGTGCATACATTGAAACCATGGATCAGAAATATTCAAATTCTTCCTTTTCGATTGTTTCTTACATATTAGATTGTTATAAAATTGAATTATAAAATAACTCATAATAAATCTAATTTCATTTTCTCCATCTTATTTGATTTCGTTTACATCAATTCAACAACCCAGGCCAGCACTATTTAATTATCAAAATAAATATTGTGGAGTATTTAAAATTCTTAGAATAAAAATTTTTTTGAATCACAGGAATTTAAATCTCGTTTAATATATGTAAAATTTTCTTAGGCTTCATTTTATTGACCGCGACAAAGGAAGCGATGCATCATCGCTAACATTGATGTATTTACTATTATTAATTTTGCAATTTAATCCTGGTGATGGTATCCATTTATCATCCGGTAACTATAAATGAGATATTAAAGAGGAAGGTCATGTATTATTTACATTTATCTCTCCTTATAACCTCTGTAAATATCATGTTTAGTTTTACTAAAACTTTAACCAATGTATCATTGACACTAATAGACCTCAAGTAATAATAAAAAAACTTTTGAAAATTCTGCAGCACACCAAATTTACGAATTGAGATAAATTTCAAATATATTAGATACAACCATTTCACATTTTATCAATACTATTTATTTTGGTAAATCATTATTGTGCATATTATATTATCAGTTTGAAATGCCCGTCTCTTGAAATATTATATCTTTTTGAAGGTACATCAATCTCCTAAAATTTCTTACCTCGTGGCGTTTTTTTATTCTTTACTCTTCGTCATTCTCTTCTTGAGCGAATTTGAAATCGTACTCGAGAACCCGTAATTTTTCCTGGGAAATGCAGCCGTAGCATGTCTCCTAAGAATTTATTAAATTTAAAAATTATGTAAAAGGTAAAAGTTTACCGAACCGGTTTAGATCACTCTAATAATTTAGAAAACAATATCAAAAAAAGTGTTCTGGAGTCTTGGGAACGAGCTTAGAAACCGAATATATATCTAGTAACTTTGTCGATCAAGTCGGGTAGTTGGGATTTTGGCAGATATAATAGCTAAAGTTCAATTGGTTTCTAAACTCGATATCAGACAACTTTTTTTTGAAAATTTTTCAGCGTAGTGGTCTGAGGAGGTCCTGGGTTGATCTTCACTAGAACCCAATATTTAATTTTTGAATCAATATTTTTAAATTCATTTTTTTTTCCTTGTTTAAAATTAAAAATGTAACCTTTAAATCCTTCCAACATTCTGAGCAATAAACGAAGGGGCAGCCTTTTCGAGACGGGCACTTTACGAAATCCTCTTTGGTTCCACGTTCTAGATCATCGCACAGCAAGCAGCTCCTTTTCCCCGATTTGAGGTATTTTAACCAGAACAGGCATCTGGGGAATTGATTTCTTAATGCCACTAACATTCCAGATTTTTGCTTTAAACAAAAATAATTTATGGTTGATTTTGTTAACAACTTTATAAAAATAATTGCTATTAGACCACTATCTCTAAATCTAATTTTATTGAATGCAACGGTCCAATTACTATATGATTGGCGATTTATTAATTAAGGATGTCTATACATATGAATATACTATTGCGCCATTTTTGGTTTGCACAAGTCAACTAATTGATATTAATTATTATACGAATACATATTAATGTCATTTAACCGGATGTGCAAACCATAAAATGCTGCTACAGCTGACTCATATGTATTGAAACTTTTAAATGCATTTAATGAATCGCCTATCTAATAGTATAATGTACAATCCGATGACATATAATAACCTAGACCGACGATGCATTCATATAATGCTTTTGAAAGCGTCGTTGAATGCAAATCAGCTGTGGACCCGCCATTTTGGTAACCCATATAGTAATTATTAAATTGATATCTTGCTTCCTTATAATCTGAATGATCAGGCAATTCTTTTAATAAAGTTTGCGTCAGACATAGGAATAAATTGGCCTCTAGTTTTTAAATAATGATATGGTTAATCAAAATGGCGTCCCCAGCTGTTTTCATTGATGTGCACCATTAATGGATGCATCGTCAGTCTAGGTATTATTATATGTTATTGGTACAATCCCATCTTAAGACGTTAATTCTTATCAAATAAAATAGTAATAGTAAAAAAGTTAATTGGATGTTTTATTATGAACCTGTAGTTTTTTGATCTTGGCATTAAGCAAAACCTTTTCTTTCATGAATTCGAATTTCGTTTTCTTTTTGGATATCAGATCGTTATACAGGAATATGGTTCGTTTTTTTTCGCGCTATATAAAATAAATTTTTTATAAATTTTATATTTTTTATAAAAATATAATTTCTTATTATGATCCTAATCATCCGACATTTTGAGTAGATAATGGAATGGGGAGGCTTAATTTCCTTTAATCTACTTTTTGAATAAAAAATGACAAAGAAAATTCAAGAACGATACAAGATTTAAAAATAGTGCAGTATTTGTATATTTTGTGTTACTCTTACTAGTATAATAGTTAAATTTATACAGCTTCTTTTTTTTTAAAAAAAAAGTAACACTGTTACAAAAAATAATGTTACAATAGTTATGAAATCGTTTTTCTAAAAATCGATATCTATTATTAGCAATAAATCACAAACAACATATAAATTCCCTGTAATCGGCTATTTTGAAAATAAATATATCCATAAGTAGACTGCTATAAAATATTAACTTTTTAATGGTTTGATATTTAATTTAAAATTTTTATTTTACCGATTATCATTGGAACAACAGTTTCCAATAACTCAACGACTTTCTTTTTATTAAAATAAATCACTTTATTAATCACAGCATATAAATAATTTTTTTTAAAAAAATCATAAAAATCTAATATTTTTTCTAAATTCGGGTAAAAAAGGTATATAAGAAATTAAATTGATACCAATTATGGTTAAAAAAATTCATAAACGATATTTTAACATTGAAAATAAATAATTTATTTTTTTACGATTTAAATTTATAATAACAAAATTAAAAGAATTTCTAATCTTTCTTTCTTTCTTTCTTTCTTTCTTTCTTTCTTTCTTTCTTTCTTTCTTTCTTTCTTTCTTTCTTTCTTTCTTTCTTTCTTTCTTTCTATCTTTCTTTATTCCTTCCTTCCTTCCTTCCTTCCTTCCTTCCTTCCTTCCTTCCTTCCTTCCTTCCTTCCTTCCTTCCTTCCTTCCTTCCTTCCTTCCTTCCTTCCTTCCTTCCTTCCTTCCTTCCTTCCTTCCTTCCTTCCTTCCTTCCTTCCTTCCTTCCTTCCTTCCTTCCTTCCTTCCTTCCTCTTTTTCTTTCTTTCTAATTGGCATCTCAAAAGGCGCACATCAAAAAAATTAACTAAATTTTTGAATAAATGTAGTTTAGTCAAAATTATTTTATTCCTGAAAAATCAAGATAATCTAGCATATTTTTTTTTGTATAACACTGTAGGATATATAAGAATGTTGTAAAGGGCTAAACTATAAACATAAATACTAGAAGCAATAGGCGGCGTATAGGTTTAGCGGTTTTTGTAGCGCTTATAAATTATGAAGAAGGGCTTAGCGGTTCCTATAGCACTTACAATTATGAAGAAGGGCTTAGCGGTTCTTATAGCGCTTACAAATTACGAAGAGGGTTTTAGCGGTCCCTATAGCGCTTACAAATTATGAAGTAGGGTTTAACTTTTGTGTTTATCTTAAGAGTTTTAGTTTGTTTTAAGTCACATATTTTTTTAAAAAATGTCAAAAACAACTTTTTTATTCATTTTTTAAAAACGCTAAAAAAAATTGTTTACCAATTTTCACGTTATCATTTAAAACGCAAAATGAAAACGCTTCAATTCGTACAAACCATTATTAGCTCAAGGGTTCAATAAGGTCCAACCTAGCAAGAGTGCTGTCAAACGACTCGATTTAAACCAATGCTAAATTAAGAATTAAGTCAAAAAAATTATTACGGGAGCCTCGAGATTTCTTAACAGATGTCCAAACTTTTCTGACATCCATGAACAAAATATTCTAGGGCTTGCATAAAAGTTTTTGGGCTAAAATATTAGGGCGTTTCTCAAAATCGAGCTATGTAACAAAACTATCTATCATTGAAACTTTCTAAAAAGAAAGAACGAAAGAAAGAAAGAAAGAAAGAAAGAAAGAAAGAAAGAAAGAAAGAAAGAAAGAAAGAAAGAAAGAAAGAAAGAAAGAAAGAAAGAAAGAAAGAAAGAAATGTAAAAGTTTTTATTTTTTTAGAGTTTCTTTCATGTATAGACCCAAATATATATTATTTTTTTTTAAAAAAAAACTTTTTCCAATAGATTTAAAATTTCAATTATAGCAATTAGCGCCAACTAACGGACAAAATTTTGTTAAATTTTTAAATAAACTTTTGTTGGACATACGAATTAAGTAAAGATATATTTCTTACTCTTGAACATTAAATGAAAGGGTTAAGGCTTTTATCGCCTAACGACATTCTGCGTTGTCGGTATCGTGACCATAATGGTAACCATTTTATGTTTGAGTTTCAGTATTTAATATATCTAATTTCTGTAATTAATGTTTATAACGTTATATTTATGTATTTATTTTTTTTAATAGCCTCTCTTGATTAATTAGGGAGAATCAATATCAATTGTCAATTGAAGTATAAAGAAATCTTTGCTAATTTTTATCGCCATGAAACAACATATTATAACATATCTAAATTGATTGGTAAATTTTTTCTGGGTCATCCAGGGTTGAATCTTTCTTAGATATTCTTGCGATAAATAAGCATGTCCTTGTTAGATTAAATGGGTTTGCAACATTTTGGTACGTCCTATATGTTTTATAGAATAAAATTTTATTGATCTGCATCTAGGATATATGCTTTTTGCACTCTCCAAATCCCGAATGTTGTCGGTAGATAGACGATAAAAGGTTGTTTCAAGTTTATCTGAACGGGCTAAGTTTTTAAAAATATTATGCAGAAAGGGAGGTCGTTTTAAACAGTTTTATTTTGTAAAATAATATGCTCGCGGAATATAATCGATAATATGCCTGATAAAATAACGCAGCTGTTATACATTATCGAGTCAATAAGTCATTCGCTATAGTAGCAAAGTATAGATCTAAAAAAAGGTAAAACTTTTTTAAGGATTAAATGGAAGGGGGGGGGGGTGCTGAACTGGGAATTTTTTATCACATTTCTTATAAACGTATATGAATATTTTCATTTTCTTTTAGAATAATATTTTTCAACCAATTAGAGCCATCTATTTTTTTCCAATTATTGATAAAAAATGTATATTTTGTAAGAGTCGATAGCGTCGCCAAAGTTTTGACATCATGTCTATATTTATCAAAGGTGTCTGTCTAAATAAAAAGCTTTAAAAAAATTTAGAAAAACAAAACTCTTTTTTTGCTTAAAAACACAGGTAAAGCAATATAGGTAAACCGGTTGTTAAAGATTCAAATCGGCTCCAATTTTTTTTTCTTTCTTGATATCACTTTAGAGATTTATTTTACCTACAATATGATATATTATAATTATTTTGACTATAAATAGTTTTTGAGATATAAGCATTTTAAAAATTTTAGATTCCCAAAGTGGTTCTTTTTTGTACTTATGAGCCCTTATGAAAACCAGGACTGAGCTAAAATAAATGGCTTTCTCTTGTGCCTTTTTTGATCTATTTGACATGGAATGGCCCGTTAGTTGATTTTATTTATAAAATTTCAAGGATTATAAAATAATTTTTATACTATTATCATCAAGATTCTGTATTTGATCGGTTAAATACGATTCGTTCAATACGGTATTTGACCACTAAAATACTATTCGGTCAATAACCGATATTTGACCGGTTAAATTCAAATAAATTTGTTTTTTTTCAATCAATAACTTAATGTTTCGCTCTCAGTGTCAGTGGTTCGGAGTCTTGTTCTGATTGATATTCAATGATATCATTTTTTTTAAATATTATTTTTAAAATCAATTTTACTGTTGTTCGAAAGATTTTCAATCGATTTCTGTTTTAGTGAGAATATTAAACCCGAATCAACCAATTCCTTTACTGAAGAAGAACAAGTGTAACCAGGAATTGTCAGTAAAGTGCTCATATTTCTTTGATGGGCATATTACGCTAAAACCGATTCCACTAACTTTAAATCAGAATGTGATCGTCGAATTTATAGGAGATCATCAATATATCCCGAAAATTAAAAATAAATTGTAAATTTTTTTATAAGTGATAATTTTAAGTAAAATCTCAAAATCGATTTTTTGAATTTCTAAATGCCTTTTTATCTCTTCAATAAATAATCTTTAAAAAAAAATGGGTGCCCAAGATATCTTTGTAGTCTAGTGTATATTTTAATCTAATTTTTCTTTAAAGAAAATATTTTTTTTTCTAAGAAACTGGCGGCATGGCTGCCGTTATTTTTGTCAGCGCACAGGTCTTGTCATTAGTTGCCACCTTAGGTTTTCCTAACAGGTCAGACGCATTAAAACCCCACACTAATAAATTATGTAAACATTCTGAGTATAACAATATATTATTGATTCAGTTTAGTGTTGTTAAACGGCGTTTTGACCGATTTTTAAAAACGGCTAACTCTAACCCAATATTTTAGCCAGAAAAATATCGCCTGAACCTCGAGATTACGCTAATAGATGTCTAAAACCTTTGTTTCCTTCTACAGACAAAATTTTCAGGCTTGCGTAACATTATTCTAGAAGCCGTTTAACAACACTAGATTCAGTAAATCAAGATTTGGAATTTCTAGGCATGTCGTTGCCGGAATGCGCCATTCCATCTTGATGATTAATCGAGATTTTCTTTTTCTCCCATGTTTTATTTTTTTTAAGGATTTACAGCCAAGTGTGTTACTTTTTTCAACTTTTAAAATATTCAAAAATCTGTTGCCCGGAAATGGATCTCAGCATGCTGAGAATACCTATCTTTATGAATATTTAGGGACAATTTTACCGGGTTAAACTTTTGAGTCATATATAATTTTATGCGAAAAGATCCATGGAAAAATACTAATATAAATATAATATTAAGTCATATCAAAGGTTCAAGATAAAATTAACGGAATTATAGAAGGGTAGGTATTCCAAACATTGATGGAATATATTTCCGGAAAAATCAGATTTTTAAGTCTTTTTAGAAAAAAAAATAATTAAGGAAAGAAAGAAAGAAAGAAAGAAAGAAAGAAAGAAAGAAAGAAAGAAAGAAAGAAAGAAAGAAAGAAAGAAAGAAAGAAAGAAAGAAAGAAAGAAAGAAAGAAAGAAAGAAAGAAAGAA